TCTCATGATTTTATCCAATATTCTCCATAAAAGTCTTGGAATTCTGTTCAAAACACTTTAGGAATTCCCTTCAGAAAAATATCTTGAATCCACTATACATTTTTCTTTGTATTCTTCTGAATTCTAGAGATGATGTGCTTTAATTAATCTAAATAATGTTCTTAACATTTCACTTGAAATATATCGTTATGCCATTTAGAATTTAGAAAAGTATTTTCCAAAAATTTCTTTGGAGTTCATTTCAGAATTCCAATTTTCCTCAGAATTTCCTTCAAATACTTCTTAAAATGAGATGGAATTTACATGGAATTATCTTGAAACTCTCAGAAATGAACTAGCCTCCTAAAAATCTCCCTAATAAAGATTTAAAAAAAAATCTTGAAGCTCCCTTTAGATTTTTTATTTCTTCAGAATATCCTGGAGCACTACTCAGTATTGCTTTGGAAAAATTCTAAAAATTTCCTTTACCCGGAAACTTCTAGAAATTCTAGAAATGGGAAATTCTCATAGCAGGCGTTGACGATGGGACGTTGTCGAGTTGTTGAATAAGCAACTATCGTGGTAACTCACCGATTACCTGTCGATCTGCCAAATTTGGAAAGACGTCTGCATTGAATTGTCTCATATAATAATATTCCGCCCACTATATCACAAGAAATTTCGAGTAGCTGAGTGGAATTGAGATAAGTTAAGCATTGGGTACAGGACCAAGTCTCCCCTGGGTGGTGCCAGAAGATGAGCGCAATAGAATCAACAAGTTGCCATAAGGCACGGAATGAGACTATTGCATGGCTGGGTAGTCAAATTCTTCCATTCGTTAGTCATTTCAGGTGGATTATAACAGCTTTAGGTTTAGGATGGGCGTTGGCCAGATTTGGATTTTTCAGATATAATCCTAAATAGGACCTAGATTATTTAATACACTAGTAACCTCAACTTCTGTCACAATGTTTCATTGTGACTAATCAACACTCAATGGGTAAAATATCAAATTTGCGGTAAATTTGAAAAAAGGGAACTTGGAGTGTAGAGCGTACTGCCCACTGGACGATTCTGAAACCTGACCAAGTGAGTGGGTTACGGGTTTATTTGATTGTACGTCATTTCCAAGTTATATATAGATACATTCATACCATTGGCATTTTGTATTTGAGATGAGACAGAGATAGGATGCGGAGGGCCCGCTTAGGGGGAGCGTAACCCATGTTATGGCTTCCATTTATTAAATAGTTCAGATAGGTTCATGGTGAGAAAATGTACCATATGGTGCCCGTTCACTGATCAAAATTAGATTCAAATCGTCAGGCCCTGCCCTGGAATAAGGGGATTGACGATGATTTGTCAAGTTTCATTTTGCATTTGCATATAATTGTAAGTTTAGGTTTGCTTTTGTAATTGTAAGATAGATAGTTTGTCTCAATTGAAACAATGAGTTGTATAAACTTGACGAATCATACCTCTAAAAGAGTAGTAGTTACAGTGCCGCATGATCTAACAACCACTGCCTGCAACTAATGTTGGAGGGGCCGGCAGGGCTGATTACGGATCAAAACTAACATAACTCTAACACTGAAATGGCTTATTACTTATTACTTATTATTAATTATATACTTTATTATATATTTATATTTAGCTGTGGTGATTTATATTAGTGGAAGAAGGTCGTTATGCTATACGGTCTAGCATAGGCCCACGGCCAGGTTTCAGTAGGTACACACTCGCTTAACGGCAGATTGGTTTACAGTGGTCGACCAGGGTGTGTGCTGATAAATTACAATTACAATTACAAGTACAATCATACTCTATGCCCAGGGAAGTCAAGAAACTTTCCAACCCGAAAAATCCCTAGACCGGACCGGGAAATCGAACCCAGCTGCCTTCAGCATGGTCTTGCTTTATAGCTGCGCCTTTACCGACTGAACTAAGGGAGACCCTAAAAAAATGGGTATGCAGTCTAACGATCATTAACAGTCATAATACGCAACCTGCAAAATGCCTGGCGATGATGGGAATAAACTTGCTTTTCGACAATGGGACAGTAGTGGTATGTCACAGAATCGACACGGATTTTGCAAGTTCGGTATTATGACTGTTAAGTTTGCATTACGATCAATTCACTTTGAATTGAATTTAAATCCTCTTCCTAATTTTCTTTGAATGGTCCTTGAAATTTCTTCCGATTTGCTTCACAGTTCCTTAGATTTTTTTCTCATAATCCCTCTTCTCCTTACTATTGGCTTTAAATGCTTCTAAAAACTAACTGAAATTTCTAGACAAATTGAAAATTGATTCTAGTAATTGAAAATTCCGCCCGAAATCCTTTATAATTTTTCCTAGAATTCCTCTACATTTATCCTCAACTTATTTGGTATTCTCATCTTAATTCTCTAGCCAATGCTTTCAGGTGTCAGAATCCTAGTCCAAGAGCCATGATTCTTCTTTTAAATCTAAGATCTATAAAAACGGCCAAACGGCCAAAATTTCACAAAGTTCAAGAATGCAAATTACTGGCCTTGTCTCAAAATATTGAAAATTTTCTTATGTTATTAGCATAGAAAATTCTTAGTCCGAGAATTCAAAGGTTCTTGCATAGATTATGTAATTTTTAATGCGCGATGCAAGTAGATGCGAGAAATGAAAGAAGATTTTTTGATGATTGATTTGCTAGTGGGAGTTTTTTCGAGCATCTAGAATTGAGATATAGATGCGTCGTTCCTCTCGGATTTGAGAATCATTTTCCGAACACTGAATAAGAACATCTAATAAAACATCGGAACGTCCCTACTTACCATGGTGAATCCTCATCCGCAACCATCTCAACTGACATAAATTTTTCCATCCTATGATAGATGTGGAGATGGAAAGGTGTTCTCGGTCTCTGGTAGTGGTGGCAAGTGTACATTTTTTTTTTTCAAAACCATCGTCCAGAGCGAAACAAAACAGCCAGCACACCGGCGGTCATGTATATGTAAATTTCAAGCAAACGGCAAAGATAGAGAATAGGAAAAATGTCGCAGCCCTTTGTTTTCCAAACAGTTTATTGCGTGTGACTGTAAATTATTAACTCCCTTATTTACGCATACATTTAACATATAATTATGAGTGGATAGTGTGCATTCTTATCTTTTAATTCCATACAATACATATCAAATAAATGCAGTAATTTGTAAGAAATCAGCAAAATTATACATGACATAAATTTATGTCTCACTGGTCTTGTCTGGTCTTTGTGCGTAAATGTTCTGTCGCTGGCAGAAAACAGTTCAGAAATGTCACGATTTGAAATTTCTCATGAAAGTCACCTTCTAGAGACTTTTAAAACTCTTTAAGACGAATGTTTTATAGCAAAATTTGTTGTCTGTATCTCTTCTAATAAAAAAGATATACCCGAATATAGTAAAAAATATGAATAAATTCAAATTAATTTAATACGAGTTAAAAAAATAACATACCTCCAATTTTTTTCATATTATTGAGAATAACATACGCCCTTTCAAATGCCGTAGAAAAACTTTTTTTTTGTTTGCCCCAACCAGAGATATTAACATTTGAAAAGTGCATATTTTTAGTATAAAAACGTCAATAATTCTTGATCGGCGAAAGATATTGACAAGCTTTGTGCGGCAAAAATTTGCGTCTTCTTAAGATCTAAAAATTATTTAAAGACACCTTTGCTGAGAAATTCGAAATAAGAAAACTAGAGCTAAACAACTGTTTTTTTTAGAGCCACCCTAACTCAAATCAAGAAAATAGCTCTAAATCGGCCAATTCAAGAGATACAAAAAAGTTGTTTTCTACAAAGTTGTTTGAAATTAGCTCAGCTATAACTTTGCCGAAGAATGTATACCTAAAACTTTTCAAACAAATAAGTTAGATTTTTGATTTTAATGATAATAGGAACCACCCTAGAATTCATTGTCATAAAAATGAGGCCATATCTATAAGGAACAACTTTGTACAAGAGACTTTTAGTCTAAAGTTTCAATTTCAGGCTCAAAACATATCATTCCACCTAAATCTGCATTCTGGACCACTGTGCATTGGTCTCTGGTAAGAGAGTCTTTCATACTAACAGTTATCCCTTCCCGGATGACCTTAAGTATTGGTCTTGAATAAAGCTGATTCACCAGAACTAGAGAATGGATTGCTAATCCCATTCCCATTAGCTACTTTGTGCAAATTTCACTTGATCGGGTCAATCATGGAGTAGCAACTACGAATTGTACGGTCATCAATACTCATGCTCATGTTCATGATGTAAAAATAAACAACCAATAGTTAAAATGTCTGTATTGATTTCAAATGCTACAGAACAAGTGCAGCTTGCTTTCAATTTTCAACAGAAGCTCTTCCGTTGGTACTCTATCCGAATAGGTATTCCACGGATCGACTGGGACACGCTCTATTCCTCCAAACATTGCCAAAAGGGTCGACATATCGATAGAGTGAATTAATTCTCCCAGAGCTGAAAACGTAAATCGTGATAAGAATACGTTATAAATGATTACATATAAACATACCAGGTGATAAGAATTTATTCCAAGTGTAGAAGTAACGATCACTGCACTTTAGTCTTTTAAACTGTACGCATGTGGCTGCCGCAACCGTTTTTGGCATGCTAACTCCATCTGCTCTTTCTTTCTCAAAGATTAAAAATAGTGCATCTATATCGAATGGGCTTTCATAGTGATATTTGAATACATCAATCAGCTTACGTTGGATAAAATGGCGTCAGTTAAGCGAGCTTAGCAGAAGAAATTTACCAACATACCTCCTCGGTGAAAATATTCTTCAAGTCATCGAACGATTCATAACATTTTGTTGGATTTCCTGAAACTTTATCAAAGTAATTTTTGTACAATATCAAAGGACATAAACCGGCATCTCGACCTCTTTCCAAATCAAGGCACAGTAAACAATGTCCAAGTACTCCGTCTTTCGAAAAGAAGGTGTTTACCAACTGGAAAATTTGAACACATTTTAGTTTTTGGCGGAATTAAGTTGCAAAATAAGTGCTAGTTTACAGATTCTGATAATGTTTGGATACGAATTGGATCATCGAACGTTCCCTCCAGTACCATCGAGCAGTCATACGTCTCAAGATTAAGGAAAAACTCAGGCACAGATTTCTGAATGCGATCGTTGCCTTCCACTAGTGTGAAATTTTCTGGCATCCATATGTGCTGAAATCGGCCCAGTGCATTGGTGTACGTAGAAGAAATACTGGATTCTAAACCCTCGTCGTATTCACAATCAAAATTGCACTGACTATAGAACTCTTCGCCAAACAAAGCTAGCAAAAGTTCCTCGTAAACTATGCGTTGATATACACCTATTGTCAATGATCGACACTTTTCTATCATGTCCTCTTTGGATTGACCTTGGCCACATAAACTAACTCGGTCAATACAGTAGTTGTGGAGTTGTGAGAAAAGTCCAGCTACGGCCAAGAATTGAATTGTGATGACATGACTCTGACCGAACGTTGAAGATGCTTCACAGAATGAGGTAACTAATTTTCCTGTGCTATCGTATTTTCCCTCACCGTACGTCGAAGACATATCGAGATAACTCGTTGCGATGCTCCTCTTTGAAGGGTACCTTATGTCACATTGATCGTTAGCATTTTCAATCGGACTAAAATTTAAGCACTTCACATTCTTTGGACCATAGTTTGGATCTATATTGAAGATATGCAACGGCTCTGTTAGTGGTGCTCGGAATAGTGATACATCACTTCCATCAGCACGACATCCTCGGAAGCCTGATGTAGCATTACGAGTCCGTTTCATAGCTCGACCAACCATGTCCGAAGTGACGAATTCGGAAAATATTAAACCAAATATGTTGAATATTGCGGTGGGTGGCACAACGGTACCTTGGCTGTTTTTCGCACGTTGAATATCACTGATAATGTTTCTGTTGTTGGGAAGACTTCGTCCGGACGTGCTCATACGGTGCTTTGAAACGAAGTCATCGAAGCACGGTGCCATTTCCAGTTTGAGCGGATTGCCAGATTGACCCCAAGTTGTGTGTCGCAGATTATTGCACACTCCATTGTAAGTGCGATACCTATTAAGGTTAGGAGATTTGGTTACTACAATGTTCTTAAATTTCACATCCCCAAATGAGTGCAATCCATCTGCAACCAGCGATTACGGAATTACTTACGGATAGTTGGGATCGCAGTCGTATGCTTTTCTGTGCTGACATTTGTCCAAAGACAGTGACCGATTGACGTTTGGACAGTATCCTTCCAGCAAATTCCTTACGGTGCATTTTCCTTGACTAGCCAGATGTTGCAGTAAAATGTCCGTAGTCAAAGTATTTTTAACTCCAATTTCGTCATCAAAGTCCAGAGCGTTGGTGAAAAACAAATTGAAATCGTATTCTTTTTCGCTAACCAGATAACACGGATTATTCTGAAAGCTCGATTCCCATTCGAACCGATTGATAGCTTCCTGCTGAGCCCACAGTTCCAAATGCTTCCAATTGTAAACGTTAGGACACCGCCAATCGCTAGCACATTTCAAAGGTACACCGCACTGCCTGTGGTATTCCTTGTAGTACACTGGATTATCAGGTAAATGAAGATCATCTACAAAAGCACTTGAATATTATTCGTTCGCAACATATTACTTTCATGAAATACCGAACAATGCCACAATGCACGAGGCAAGCGTAAAAATCACGAAAAGTCTCTGCATGTTGCTTCAGTTCTGCAAATTAGCACATTATCACAATGTATGAAGTCGCTCCAGTCAGTTCTGCAATACAACTAACGCAAACAATTGCTGTGATGTCGGACCTATACTATAGATAAACTTTGCAAAACTTAAAGCATGCAGAAATGAAAGGCACGTCCATAGAAATTATGGGCATGATGATTTGTGCTATGTCGTTTTCAACGACATAAACATGTCTCCGGGAAATGTTCGATAATAAAATCCATACACGTGCCATGTTATAAACTGTATGCTTTGTTATATTGTTCAAAGGAGGTGTGTTTAAAGGGATCTGCATGGGAAATCTGTTAAAAATTCTGCAGTCATTCGATCAAGGCGTAGCCAACTTTCAGAATACAGTGCGTGTCAGGACAATAGGCCCACCTTAAATTTTATTGTCATTAAAAACATTGTATCCCTGTTGTTTGTTAACCAATCGTTATGAATGTTTTTGGACTTATGAAATGACTTTTTTTCTTAATCACCTTAACGTGAAGCTTATCGCAACCGACGAATAATTTACTTTTTATTTTTTTCTAAAAATAACGAAAATCTAATGTACCTGCACACCTTTGTTCTCCATAATTTATGGTGAAAAGGTGATACAACAAAACCAGACCTTTGTTTTTTTACCCGACTTTTTAAAATAATGAAATTAAAAAAAAGTTTTACACGTATTTTTTTTAAGAATCACTCGCAAAACAATTTTCTTTGAATTTTTATATCTTTGATGATCTATCGAATTGATTGAGCAGGGTGGAGAAAAATCGATATTTTGAACCACCCTGTTACACAAATTAACAGCTATGGAACATATGAATCCGAAACGGGAGCATTTAAATTTCAATTGGAAGTGGCGATTTTCTATTGTTGATAACTTATAATATTCATAAGGCAACTAATACGCAGAAGCCAAGCAAGAAAGTTAATGAACATCATTAGGGTAGCCAGTGAATTTTCATTTTTAATTCCCGGTTTTGCTCGGTTTTTACGGTTCAAATCTTAAAAATTTCCTGTTGTTTATATTCAACAAAAAATGAAATAGTACGCATTTTTAAAAGGCGGTCAACAGTAAATCTTCGGATAAAAGAGCAAAAAAAAAATCAAAACAAAAACATTATATGGCAAAAAACTGTCCTTCGTATCTTCCTAGTTCCTGCTCTTCAGGCTGTAAATTAATCGAATTTGCAGTGCTGCCAGTTAAACCTACTCGTCGGCCGGACGAAGGGCATAGAATGTATGTTATTTGTCAAATAGATGTTTTGGAAAAAAAATAGAGAATGATAAAAAAACTCGTGGTTCTTTTCTAGCATGCTGAAAAGTACACGATCACTGACATGGATCACATGGAAATCATGTTTTGAGCTAAATTGACCATTACAGTGATGCTCCACAGTTCTTAAACGATTCTAAATCGGGTTCTGATCAGTCTCCCAAAATTTGAGCTCGTGTGGTGAAAAACTGACTTAGCACAAACCCATTGAAGTTTATATGGAAATTACTATGGGAATCCTAGATTGTGTTTTTTTTCCTTGATTTGTTTTCCGTCGATCATGTTTTCCGTACTGAGTACCAATGCTATCGACGCCACAAACGAAGTGACGAACGACTCACTGGCGAAGAAATCAATTAACATAATGTGGTTCGCTGTAATAGAATTTTCTTAGAAGCTTGAACAAAGTTGATTTTGTGTGCAATGATCTTTGACTTCAAACTAGGGGAACAGGATTTTTCAGTAATCAAAGGAACACATCTTAGTCCTTGTTACTTTTTATGCCTTGTTGATAGTGATAAGACACGGCTTTGTCCACGGAAGATGATCTTGAAACAAGGAAAAATTAGTTAGTTGGTCTTCACCTATGTAATTCCTAATTCGTTGTTCCATAGTTTGAAGTGGTTAAGACTAGGGTTCTGATGCATCAGCTTCCCGGTCAAAAGTTTTACATCGCGACTGGACGTGGTGCTGGGAAGATTCAAGTTCGTGTTTGCCGACAAGTTCGCGAAGAAGGCCATGATTTGGCAAGCGATTTGCTGTTGTGGCCTGAAAACGGAACCATTCGTCACATCCTCGACGATGACATCCCAAGTTTACATAGAAGAATACCTGAAAAAGCGTGTATTGCCGTTCATCCGCAAGCATAGGGGCAAAGTCACCTTTTGGTCCGATTTGGCCAGCTGCCACTAACCCAAGGTGGTTCTGGAGTGGTATGCTGCCAACAAGATCGATTTTGTCTCCAAGCTAATGAATTCTCCGAATTGCCCGGAATTTCGACCAATCGAAAAATACTGGGCAATTTCAAAGCAGCGACTTCGACGAAGTGGCAGGGAAGTCAAGGAGATCCAGCAAATGCGAGCAAAATGGAAGAAATGCGCTGATTCCGTTTCCGTTTCCACTGTGCGATCGCTGATGGGCTCCATCAAGAAGAGAAAGGTTCGAGTTTTCGTTCGAACTGGAAAAATGTAACCATCTTATGGTGTAACTTTTAAGTTTTAGTAAAAATACTGTAAAGCAACCATTAATGGAGTTTTTAAACTTATTGAATCACGAATAACAGGTATTTTTGTGCGTAACAATTTACTTTAGCCTTTATGCAGTCGATTTATGTGTTCCTGAAAATGTATAGTATAATAATTTAATTCATTTGTCTTTTGTCTCTAGAACCGCGCTACCGTTCATAAGTACTGGTGACAACGCTCTGATAAAACAACGAAACCACACCCCTAAGCTCCTTTCCTGATCCTATCCTTCGACAATGTACTCCTCAAACCTCGTGTAAGCCGTGAGTATTCGGCCCAAATCCTACTAGACATAGAATTAAGTGAATTTTACTACAAACAATGTATTTTTTTTAATTTCGTGGGATTTTATTTTTTTAGTTTATTAAAAATAATAGTATAGCTTGAAACAGATTGACTTGATCAGTAACGATCGACGAAAAATAATAAAAGTATTCTTTTAATCGAATTTTTAAAATACATATCTATAATGCTAAAAACGTGACTTTCAGACAATTTTACAAAACTTATTTGAAGGTGTACAGCTCTTCGGCAACTTTTCATACAATTTTTCGTTGAACAGCAAACCTCTATCTTGCGAAATACTTGTAAGTTTGTATCGCTGTAAAACTTGAACTAATTTCATTCACCAAATTGTAGTCTAAACCAAGAAAATGCTCAATATCATTCTTGGTCCATTGTTCACTGTGCTCGGCAGATGGTGGTAGCCTTCATACGTCAAACTACATACTAGCCGGCTACTTACAAAAAATTAAACTAACCATTAAATGAGTGAACGATGATCAGTATGTGAAGAGATCTGTCTGTTTGTCTGTGATAATAGACTATGAAGCACGATAATGAAAAAAATAAAATAAGGTGCGGTACGAAAATTACGTAACAAGGCTACCCCCTAAAATTACGTAACGCTAAATCACTCGCTCTCCGCTTTTTTTCAATTAACAGTTTAAAAAGTTTTTATTGCGTTACATAGAAGGGTCGCGTATACTTATTTAACAACACATTTTGTTTTTTCAGTTTTTAATTTTTTTCCCAATTTGGTCAATCTGCTACGTAACATTTCTATTACCCCTTCTCCCTATGTAACAATAAGTAACGAAAGTTTTACCTTATCTCCCTTTCTCTCCTCTGCGTTACATAATTTGTGCACGAAGTTTAATTGCATTAAGGTTCCACAAAGGGTAAATCATTTGTTTACTTCTTCTTTTTGAAATCTTCGTTCTTCATTTGCTAAATGTAGCGGTAAAATTCATTGGAAGTACATGGCACTACGCCAAAACTGTCCAAGTGTCATAAATATTCTAATCATTTAAATGCAACAGCAAATGTGACGTCACGCTACCTAGTGCATAAGGATGTTGTAGGCAAAAAAAATCACATTGCCAGACCGCGCTGTGAGTAGTGGTGGACAAGAAACCCTAATAAAAAAATACCGTAAACGAACTGTTTCCCGGATGGGTAAACTATCCCACAAATGGTTTGGATGATACCCCGAACACGTCGTTAATCTATTTTGTATGGTTATTTTTGTTAGGGAAACCAACCGGTACACACATGTACTGGTACGGTCCTCAAAATCGCAACACGTGTGAACGAATGATGCACAGCGTGTAAAGTTTTCATTTCGTTTACACGGTAAACGAAACTGAAACCAAAACCGGGCCTCAGTTTAGAAAACACAACCGGGCCTCAGTTTAGAAAACACAACCGAATTCATCAACGTTTACGCGTTTGGGGTCGGATTACCATATTGGATTTCAAAATGGCGTCAGGCATTGATTTCTGGTCACTACACGTCATGCCGATTCCAAAAATACCCATATTGTGGGGTATTTGACAGTATTTCCCAGCTTTTCTCTAACCGGAAGCCGTCATATTGGATTTCAAAATGGCGTCAGACATCGATTTTCGGTCCCTACACGTTATCCCGATTCTAAAGATGCCCATATTGTGGGGTATTTGACAGTATTTCCCAGTTTTTCTCTAACCGAAATTCGCCATCTTGGATTTTGAAATGGTGACGGCCATAAATTGTTGGCATGGGTTAGATGTTTTGAGATAATTTTAAAATAATTGTATAAAATGTAAAAAAATTCTGGTACCACTTGCACGTCCGTAAAATATCAACCCGAGAACACAACCGCTACACAACCTTGGTTCGGTTTTGTGTTTTTCATTTTTTACATGCCAAACTCGTTTAGGGGCTGTTCATAAACTACGTAGACAGTGTAGGGGTGGGGGTGGGGGTGTTGACAATTATCCACGGCCCATACAAATTTTAAACAAAATGTATGGACAATTGTCTACGCAGGGAGGGGGGGGGGCAAGAATAAAAAAAATGTCTACGTAGTTTATGAACAGCCCCTTACCGGTCAACGAAAACCAAACATAAACCGGGGTGTCGTGTAAATGAAACACAACCAGCACAGACAAACAGACATAACTCTTGCAAGTTGTTCATCGAACAAACATTTAAAAGTATCAAGGTCAATTTAAAAGTATCATAGTTTTTAGTACCGCCACCTGTGGTTGCCTCTCATCCCAACAGGCTTGGGTTCAATCCCAGTCTGCGCCGCCGGGATGTTCTGAGGCATACCATCTCTGATCACGCCTTCCTTTGGAAGGGAAGTAAAGCCGTTGGTCCCCGGTTCATGAGTTGATGGGTCGATATGTAGGGTCTAGGTGTGGGAGCTGCCTCCCTGGCGTCGGTAGCATTGGTGCTCAGCATGGAAAACAAGATCGACGGAAAACAAATCAAGGAAAAAAAGTATTTGATGCTATTTCTAACTTCATTCGTTCTGGAGATATTAGCAGTGCTTACTTGAAAATCTCGGAAAATAGATTTTTAAAGTTGGATTATTGTAATTTGAATGAATGACCCGTACTTTTAAAGCTATGTGAAAAACTATGAATATGACAAAAGGTGGAAAGGCGAACAAGGCCAATGGTTGAACAGGGCGTCACAATATCAGCGTCAATCGACCAAATCGATGCGACGAAGAGACTGCTGGCTTTCTTTTTCTGTTAAAGTCGAACAGCTTCGCAGCATTCTAGAACCTTAGTCGGCGTGCACAAACAAATGTTCAATCGCTTGTCTTCCTTTCAAGCTTCGGTGAAACGGATGAGCGAAAGAGCGCTCGACTTTGATAGTTGAAGACCCTCGCAGTGAAAATCAAGAAAAAGCATTTGTAACATATTTTTTTCGTACAAAATCAAATATCTCTGAGTGTTTCATAATTTTTCTTAAAACTACATTAAAACATGTTTCATTTGAAGGGTCAATCGTAAAAATCGGTCAAGAGGTTCAGAAGTTATAAATTTTTGAAAAAAGACATTTTTGAAAAAAAAAATGATTTTTTGGACCACCCTAACACGGAAATGGTCACCCTAATGGCGCAATAAAAAAATACGAGTCTAATATTTTTTGATAAGGAAGAACTATACCAATTTTCATGAAATTCTGAGACCCACTATAACTTTTTTCTATGGAATTGCTGAGAAATGAAGCGTTGAACACGTTTGTATGAGAGAAACAAAACTCGAGTTAATTTTAGAGCTTCGAAAATGTAGAGCCCTGGTTGAAATAAAAATGGTCGAAAGGACAAATGGTTGATATACCATTTTTGGAACAAAACCTGAGCAAACATTTTTTAATAAAGACTTAAATTTAAAATTATTTAAAAATAACAGATGATAATCATTTTAAATTTCCTAAAATCAATCAAACCTTTCAACGAAATTTTAGCTGTCCTCAGTTGAGACAGGGGGTTGTTAAAAACAACAGTACAGAAAACTAACAATTTGAATACGGCCGGAGCCGGCGCCGATGGTGTAGTGGTAAGCGTGACTGCTTTCTAACACCCCGATGGGTCTGGGTTCAATCCCAGCCGAGGTCGGTGGGATTTTTCTGAGGCTTAAAAATCTCTGGTCACGTCTTCCTTCGGAAGGGAAGTAAAGCCGTTGGTCGCGGCCCATGTATGTTGAATGGGTGCGATATCCTACGCAGGTGTGGCAGCTGCCTTCCTACACATTCGTCAATGGATGGCAATCGATGTCCGTCGGTGATTGGCACTAGATTGCGGAACAGAGACCGACGTTAAAATAAAGGAAAAAAGAATACGGCCGGAGCAATCGGCAATCAGGCAACGGAATCCTTGATGATAAGCTTTTGGAGTGGGATGAATAATTACATTTCCTTGGGAAGCATTTCAGTAACTTCTTGTCGGACTTCAAGTATCCCCTGACGACAATAGTTAAAGGTATTGCCGAAGCCGTTATTTACTCTATTTTAGAATCTTTTCTTAGAAGCTTCGAAAAGAAGCTTACGAATTTTTGAATTTTTATTTTTTCGTCGCTATGCTCCTGTTACTTAAATATAAAACACTGTAGGGTAATAAACCTTAGAAGTTACCAACCAGGATATAGGATTCGACTAATTTAGCGTTTTCAAAAGATTTAGCAAGCATTTCTTCTCAAAACGGTGCATTTATATTTTACCCATTTTATCCAAATCATTTACCATTTATCATTTCACTCAAATCAAGTTTATCGAGAACGTAACATGTCATTCTAAACATAGTAAATAATTTACTACTCACAAGTCACAAGGTTCAGTGGGTGGACAAATATTACGGAACTAAACTGCTAATATATTCATAAGTCACGAGCAAAACTAAGGATCTGACTGTAAACCAACCCCATAGTGCCATATTAATTGCGATTCAAGCTTCCCAATTTATATCCACATTAAATCATTATTCAAGACGTAATTAATGGTGGCATTTAGCGCTTCTGCTGCCATCCGTATCCTCCAGTCGGTGTCATAGTAAGGCTAAGTCAAGTTATTTAGTAGGGTAGGATGGTGCAAAATTCACCGTTTAAGAAAAACGTCAATTGCTGCTTGCGTATGGAAGCTAAAATCAAGTAGAAAGTAATTGAGTATGGTTCATTACAATGTTTTCTACGAAGATCGAGGGATTTCGAACAAAACGATGATTTTTCATGTTTTTCAAAGCATTGTTTAAATCGATTCCAAAATTATAGCAGGGTAAAAGGCCTGAGTCATGGTGCAATTTGCTCCACAACATTAGAGCAAGACGCACGACAACAATGGAGAAAACGCATCATAGCATTGGGGTAAATGCACCGCTTGATAAAGGCCATAAAAAAAACCATAACCATAAAAAGTAGACAATTCAAAAGCATGAGATATTTCAAATGATTAATCCTTTATTTTACATGAGAAATACGGTTTCAATAGAGTGTTAAACTGTTATTCATAAAGTAAATCATCTAAAAAGCATATGAAAATTGAATTCTTTCCTTTCTTTTGCGATATATGCTGTTGAAAGCTTATTTTGTAGTTAAAGATTTTACAGTTTTACTGTGTTATGTTTGGCACCAAATACATTTTTTTAAATAATCAGTATGTATATATGATATCATGATCAGGAGTTGCTTGTGAAACCTCCAGTTGAAAGCAAGCCCAATCTGTTACCCGGAAAATTCATCTGAGGAAAAATTATCGTTGTTTTTCTACAAGTGGGCATTTTACCCCAGGAGCGCATTATGGGTCGATCTCTCCTACATTCAGCTTTTGCCTGGAAATAATCTGCGGTTGCTTCTCATACCTACATTAGTCATCAACTGGGTGCTTCCGGGAATTAAATTTACTGATTGCGAAGGTTTCGGTTTGTAATTCTATGGAAAGACGCTTAACGTCATTTCGATACTGAAAATTTCACCAAAGTTGAAAATATCATTCCCAGCTTAATATTTATTCAATTACCATGAAAAAAGATTATAAAATCCCATCTTTCAACGCTGCAGTTAAATCCCTGATTTGGTGCTGACTGATAAACACATTCCAAAGTTTTCCGTCTTTTCCGTTTTGCACGGTCTCGTGCCGGCAGATGAAAACTTTCCCTATCGGTTTCGCTGGCCGTGATTGCACCAGCTGGGCACAACGCAAGCCCTCGAGCGAACAAAACCGGAGTTTTCATACCAGCTCTAGACCCCCCCCCCCTCACAATCTGAAAACCAATTAAAGAGATAAGATTTGCATAGCCTGGAATTGCGAATGCTTGAGGTTGCAACACTTCCTCAAATGCTGAGACTGACTATTGCTGTAGTCATAAATTTGTATGTAGTTTAGTTCTTCAAATATTAAAATATTGGACACTATGAAATGTACACATGCATGGAATGGCGTAAGTAAGAAGAGACTTAAAATTCTGAAAAACTTACCATAATCAGTTGTCGGATATCCTTGACGAAGGTCGACGCAGTGAGAAAGCTGTTCACCGCCGAGAAGATTTTACCTTCCAACTTGAATGGTTTTTCTTTTTTTGTTCGTCTAATTTGTACACAACCCTCGGGAGGTGGTGCTCGCGGGTGGTTTCGGGTGTGGTCTTCAGGGTGGTGCAAAGTGCTCCCGCGGTGGTACGACTTGGTGGAGGAAGGTGGTGGCGGATACCAGGAGTATGCTTCCGCTTTCAAAACTCCTTCCTTCCAACAAACGCTCCAAGGCTGCTTATTGTCAACACTGCAGCAGTGAATACCGACAATTTCTTCCTCTCATTTATAATCTAAATTGAGCGTTTTATTGCTGTCAAGTTTATTTTTTTGTTTTGAAGAAGGTCTGTTACTGAAATCTGTGATGAAGAGGAATTTTTCGATTCGGGTTTTTGGACGAAGGAAGGTGGATAAATGGTTCGAAATGTTTTCTTAGCAGAACAAATCGGCGTTGCACTGCGAGGAATGCTCCCATCGTATCTCGTGGTGTGATCATGTAGTAAAAGTAGGTCAGACATTGTTATCATTGAACTACTTTCTTGTTACTTACCCTCAACATTATGTCATATTCGAAATACAGCGTGTGTTTCATTTTAGCAATACGTCTTAAAGTTCTGGAGTCCATTTCGAAAAGGTCCTTTGTCCATTTGTCGATCAAAAAATCAATAAACTTTGCGTTGATTCACAATATTGATGCATACAATCAAAAGTTCAAAGATTAAATTAAAGATTTTACGTATCGTTGAGAAAATACCGCACTGGTCTCGAGAGAAGGCGATTCAAGTCGATTGTTTTGATCGACAAATGGACATAGGACCTATTCTTAAATAAATAGAGAGTTTTTAATTGCCGTGTCTATGATTTTGTATAAATTTCCACAATAACGTATGTTTTATTTTATGTTCGTAACTTTCGGCAATATTTTTCGCAAATGCTTTGTATGTAGATCATTCCTTCTCAAATGACCGAACTAGTTGTATCATCCATCTTTGATTTGAACCAGCATTGGTGGAACAACTTCCCGCATAAATCTCAACGATACTGTGACCACATGGAATAAGGCTTATCTTTCTTTGAAAACCATGATATAAACGATATAATATAAACCATATAACATAAACCATATAACATAAACCATATAATATAAACCATATAATAATAATAGTTTATGGAACCCCCTCCCCTCTACTGCGATTTTTAATTTGCATCCATTTTAATTTTTACATTTCTCTGGAACTATTGAAGATACAGTACAGGCAAAAAATGGTTTTACTGTTTCCTACCCGGAATATCACCCAGGAAATTTACTGTCATATCATAAATCATACTTCCCGATTCCCGGGAATCTGGCTCAGTTTCCCCGTAAACAGTTATTTTCTTTTACAAACCTCCGGTGCAACAGGTAACACTCTTTAAAGCAAATTGGACGAAACTTCCGTAGGAAATTGTAAAAAAAAACGCGAAAAGTTGGATGAAGGCACCGGAAAAAGATGATCGAAAAACATTCGGGGGAAGTCAAAAGAAACTTCCGGGGAAGACAAAAGATAATATCAGATGAAGAAATGATGATGATGATGGTCCCACGCTTAACCTTTCAATGGTTTGACCTAGACGATTTACCTTTAAGATAATTAAGTATAACATTTTAACCAGATTGGCAAACAAAAACGAACTGGTTACTGTAACAGGTACAAATTCCCTCAACACTTTTCAGTTACTTCAAGAGTGCATGAGTAATCAACATAGCATCCTATTACACTAGCAAATCCGCGATTTAATGCTATCATAATTTTCAGCAATGTCAGTAATGCTCACGAGCCCCCAACATTCAGCTAGAAAACTTACTAATAATTTAAAGTACCTTCCAAATAAGCTTCAAAGGTCCATTTTGTTTATCAAATGTTAAATTCAGTCCTCTATATCCATAATACGTGCGCGAGGCTCAATCCTTTGTAGACTACTCAAAACTGTTTTTTTTTAAATTAACTACTACTGTTAAATCATATATAAAAAATCCATCATCACCTACAATAATTATTAAAAACTCGTTATTACAGCTATCCATACAAAATAGTCTTGCTACAAGCTTCGTCAGATACATAATTTGTCAATTCATAAAAACAAAATCTCTGGATAACTGTCAAAAGACAGCTTTAACGTGTGAAATACAATGTCTCTTAAATTCTGTTGCACGTTGCACGTTTAGTGTGTCTAGGCATCGAATTAAATACTTTTATTCCTTCAAAATACAATAAATTTTGTGAAGCACAGGTCGGGAAATGAGGTGTTCTTATTTCATTCGCGTTTCTAGTATTATATCTATGAAAGTCACTTCCTCTTTCAATTCGACACAAATATCGAGGTAGCAAACCGTTAGCTTCTTTAACAGTGAAAACCATAGTCAAATATACAATTATTTGCTTCACCGACAACCATTTTAAAGTGTCCAGCATCGAAGTTAAATCCTGCAATGAATAACACATTATCATCTGCAAAAAGATTAATGTCGCAAAAAGTAAAACACGTCGTAAGTCATGCATAATAAATAAAAGGGGCCCTAATACACTTACCTAGGGCACTCCAAGGTTATTCCCCACGGGACTGGAAACAGAATAATTGACCGTTGAGTCCTGTCACACAAATCTATTTCAAACAATTTATATGCAGTACCAGTAATTCCAAAGCGCTTGATTGATCGTACCAATAAGGGCCTAGAAAATGTTTCAAAAGCGCGTTTTAGATCCAACAAACAGCAACAATCGTATCTATATGCTCCAAGTTATTTTTCCACTTCGCTAATACCAAATTCAACGCGGTTTCACAATAATGACCTTTCCGATGTATCGATATTGCTCTGGTATCAACAAACTATTACTATTTCAAAACATTTGGCCTTTAAAAACAAGTTCTAATTTTTTACTAGTGTGTGCAACATGTTGATGGATTCGGCTTTAATCGTTCCAGCAACTTTTTGAATAGGAACCACTTAAGATTCCTTCCTTATTTGTGGCATATGCCCAGTCTGCAATTTTTCATTCAATAGGTCCAGCAAGATGCGGCCAATGACATGAAAATAATCTTGAATAACTCTAGCATTAACATTGTCTACTTCAGCCGATTTTCTTAATAAAAAGGAAATAACTCTAAGCTGGGTGAAAACCTTCAAATTTACAACAGCCTGTTTCGAAAATTACCTCCAGGACTTCAATTTTACAAAGTGCTCGTTAATATTGATATAATCTAATACATTAATTAATAAGGTCTCATGATCTGTTATTTTCATATAACAATCCGTAATTGAACAAATAGAATCAAAATTGGAGTAAACATGATCAAGTAAAGTTCTACTGGGCCTTGACATACGCGTATACTGATCTACCGTTTGTTTTAAATTGAACAAAAAAAATACCGAAACGCTTCAAATGATTCGAATTATAGCCATCACTCCAATTAATGTTTAAATCATTAGTCAATATATTTACAGGGTGATTCAGAATAAATGTCACCGATGTCACAAATATGCAATTCTCAATGGGTAAAATGCGTATATTTTGGAGTGTTTTTGGATTTGAAATTTCATTCGTTTTCGATTTCAAGCAGCCATGGACGTAAAAATGTAGTATGTCATAAATCTGTATAAATTCGTGTGTTATCTTTTGGAAACAGAAATCTCTTCGGAAGAATGAAACATTCATTTTTCATATCAATATAGAGATAAAAAGGAAACATGCGTGGAAAATCCGCTCAATATCAGAGCTGTGGTGGAACAAAAGTGGTGGAACTAAAACGTGCGTGTGGTTCATTTTCGTGACAAATGTGGCTGGCAATGAATTCCAATCATTTTAGAAAAATAAAAATGTATTGTAAAAAAAAAACAATGGTGAAACCAAATTTTCACCAATGAAATATTTTAAACCACACAGATTATGATACTAGAGGTCCCAAACGATGTTGGGTACGAAATACAATTTTAGGTACATTAACTTTTTATACAAAGTCGCCTTTAAATATATGTAGCGTGTGTCATTGAACTAGTTTTTCAATTCTCATGTGATTTGAGGTATTGCATGATGGATTTTCCCCTAGTCAGAAACTGGTCACTTCTCCGGGGTTACCGGAACATGGTCAGTGTGGTCTTGGGCACTTAAAATGACTACCATTGAACTGGTTTTTGAATTCTCATTTCATTTGACATGATAGATTTTATTCGTTTCAGGTCGGATTTAGTCTCAAACCGCAACGGCCATATCTCCGGAGCCAGTTGACGACAGTGGACAGCTAACTTGGGTATTGAAGTGAAGATTATTCAGAATAAAATGTACATTTAGGCCCACTTGTTTATTGATAGCATTCTTAGTCAGTAGATAGAATAAAAAATCTAGAAATTTTACAACCCGAAACACTTTTTGATCAGATCGTGAAACTCATTGTCGCATCCGGCACTTCAACCACTATTAAAATCAAGTAAACTTGCAAAAGGGTTAATATCCCTAATGTTGACCTAAGTTTTCTTAATATTGGGCCCATACATAAATTTCGAAGGACAGCATGGTTTGACAATGTTTCACTAACAACCAACATATCAATAAATTATTGTATTATCGATACGCATTGTTCTACGAATTTTTTTAGAACAGGAGATTTTTTATCAATGGGCTCAATCTTTAGATCCATAGGTAACATTAAAACCATATACCCCATGATATTTCAGATATTTTAGCACCATCTGAGTTAGTTTTTTAATCTCAGTAATACGTACCCGGCATAATAGAAAATCCAGCATGTTTTTACTGCTTACATGAACCATGATTGTTGTTTTTTTCTCGAACTAAGCATACGCTATATTTTTGATAGAACTGATTTTCCTACACATCATTATGTACACTTTTGAGCACTAAATCGCAACCTTCCTTGTGCAACACTGCCTATCAACTGAAACTTAGTTCAACACCATGCAATACTTCTTACGAGTTTAAGCATCAAAACGTTTGGAATGACTAAATGGGCCCGGATGTATACTTTGCCATTGGGGTAAAGCGCATTTTGCAAGAGAAATAACCAATGACATGATATTGAATATATACCAATGGGTGGCAAGAGATTGCAATGATTTTTTTTTTATTTATTGTCAATTGATAAGACCATTCATATTAAAATAGACGACAAGGAACGCATGGGATTATTATGTTTAGCAGCATGTATCTGGAGAAACTTAAATACTTAAATTTTTGAATGAGTTAAGTAAGTTATTGCAACTTTCAATACATTCACCGGTACCTCATTTATAAATTAATTACATTCGATGGAATATCCTCCTAATCTGCGAATCCCGTGACTCTCTCTCTCTCTAATCGGTGAGGTGACAATTGTCATCTCACTTGTGACAGAGAGTCACGTGACTCGCAGAATAAGGGGGATAGTTTCATCGCTAGAAGAACATTTTACACCATGCACCTTTAATGATAATTT